GTTAGAAAGGACTTTTAATCAAGTCTCTAATAAGTCCATCGTTTCAAGTGGACTATTTGAAATTAAACAGGGAGATAGATCCGTTGCCGAGTTTTCTTTAGACTTCCGGGTTAAAGCAGCCGTTTCCGGGTGGAACGAGTCTGCGCTCAAAACCGCTTATCTCCTTGCTTTGAATGAACCAGTCAGGAATGAGCTAGCATTTTACGATGAGCCAGCTAACCTTGAAGGCCTCATAGAGCTAGCTATTGGGTTAGATATTGAACTGCAAAACAGATCCAGAGCCGTCCAGCTTCAGACTCTGGATTCCAGTTCCCTTCTGCGCCAGGTCAATCTCAGCTCACATATACTCGATCTTCACTTAGTTTCATCTGTTAAAGGACTCAAAATAGGCCCACTAGTTACACCTCAAACAGTTAGAGTTCCCCGCCAGCCTGATCAGACACCTGAACCCGTCACCTTTGTTTCTGAACCTGTTCCCATGCCTGATTTTCTAGCCTCTGAACCGGTAATCCGTTCTGGAACTCTAATTTTTCAACCCGTTAACTTGTTGCCAAAATCAATCATCAAACCTGTTAGCTCAGCTCCGAAGACCCCTCGGCATAAGAAACGGCATCGCCGTAAGTCAGCTCTGTGCCGTCTAGAGACCCCTGAGTCTGCTCTGTGCCGTCCAGAGATCCCTGAGCCTGCCCTGTGCCGTCCAGAGACCCCTGAGCTTACATTTAAAAGGGCTTCAGAGTGCGGAGTTGGTGGAAATATGCCTCCAAGAGCCTCTCAGCAGGGGCCACAAACCGCCAAGAGCCCTCTACAGGCGCTTCAAGCCACTTCAGACACTGAACATGTGCCTCCATGGGTGGTCTCCCCTGTTCCTGAGATGGAGCCACAGTCGGTGGTTTTCCCTGTTCCTGACGTGGAGCCGCAATCGGCGGGCTCCTCTGTTCCTGTCCAGGAGCCGCAGGTGGCGGTCTCCTCTGAGCCTGTCCCTGAACCACAGTCGGTGGTCCCCTCGGTTCCTGACCCGGAGCCGCATTCGGCGGGCTCCCCTGTTCCTGACCCGGCCACCTGAGACTCTGTCCCGCTGCCAGTCCCTCGGCCGGCCACCTGAGACTCTATCCCGCTGCCGGTCCCTCGGCCAGCCACCTGAGACTCTGTCCCGCTGCCGGTCCCACGGCCGGCCACCTGAGACGTTGCCCAAGAAATCGTCTGGGATTTCTTTTGTTTTCATCCACCGTAAGTGGATCGTTTTTTGTTCTGGACTCTGTTTTTGTTTTTGCCCTCCTGGCCTGTTTCTCCCTTCGCCCACCCTGGGTGGGTTGTTTTTTGTTTTCTGGACTCTGTTTTTTGTTGTTTCTGGCCCTCCTTGCCCTAGTGCCCCCTCCGCCCACCTTGGGTGGGTTGTTTTTTGTTTATTTTTTGGACTTTTTCAGAGGGCGTCTGGAATCCGCCCTTGAGGGGGGGCTCTGTTGGGATCCTCAGGCTTGCCCACCAGAGGGCGCCGAGGATCCTCTTCTGCTCTTTGTTGTTTTCTTTTAGGACTGGAGTTACTGTTGGGATCTGGAGATTACCTTCTGTCTCCAGCAGAGTGCGCCGTGGGTCTCCTAGGGCTGGAGTCTTCCAGCACACCTGAGACGCATCTACTCATCAGGAGACCTTCCCTTTATAAACACCTGCCAGACCTTGCTTCTACGCCGCAGTGTTGATCTTAGTTTGGTTAGCAACCTGAGCCTCTGTATCTGAAAGAATCTTAGTTGTCTCTAGTGAGAGATCAGATTCTAACTCTCCTTTGTTTATGCCTCACAGGAAACCTGTCGCTAGTCTGAAGCTCTGGGTGAGCTGCCTCACAGGAAACCTGTCTCTAGCCTGAAGCTCTGGGTGAGCTTAACCTGCCTATCAGCCCTGGTGAGCCAACCTGAAGATTCCTAAGTGGAATTTACCTGAAGATTCCTATGTGGATTGTACCTGAAGATTCCTATGTGGAATAAACCTGAAGATTCCTATGTGGATATCCCCTGCTGTTCTCTGTGAAGAGCTGGAAGCTCAGATCAAGGTCTGCCAGGCTAAGTCTGAAGCTAGACGCTTTAGCTCCTCGTGAACTCTGCTAATCAACAGTCTCTGGTCCCAGTCAAGACTTCAGTGAACCAGCCCGGACCAGTTCCAGATCCAGTACATAATCTTGTGTTTTTGTGAAACTTCAATAAACTCTGTTAACCTTTTACCCAGCCTCCATAGTGTTCTGCATATGGGCTTGCATCTTTAACCCATCGTGACAGACCCAGAGATATATTTCTCCATGGCTTTTGATTCTGGAATATAACCTTCCTCTCGGGGTACCTGGGGAGAAGGACAGTCTAGCTTGGCTTAGCTGGATTCTCCCCCCTCCTACTGAGCCTGTCCTTTTACTAGACAAGATCTCTCTCGGTGTCCCTCTCCGCCGCAGTAGAGGCACATTTTCAGCTTGAAATGTCGATCCCTCTCCTCCATGGAAAGACGGATGTGTCACAGCTGCATCGGTACAGTGCCAAGTACATCGCTACAGGTGCCAGAGGAATAGAAGAAGCATCAGAATGCACATTTGCTGATGTGAGCTCTCTGCGCTATTCTAAGAAGTGAAGATCAAACCAAGAAGCCAGACCCTGTAGCTGCTTCAAAAACTGAGGGTAGGCTCTGGTGGAGAGTTCATCTTCTATCCTTTCCTTCAGCCCAGTGATAAATACACCCACGAGAGCTTCCTCGGTCCAGTGACTCTCCTGGACGCTAGCTAATGGAAGTCAATAATATACTTTGGCACAGTCCGATCTCCCTGTCTCAAAGAAAGGAGTCCTCTTGATGCCTCCCTACTGGGAAGCACTGAGCAGAAATCAGCTGGAAAAATCACCAGCTGTGAAATCCAGCTGGATGATTTCTCACAGCCCGTGGCAGATGCCACCCAGAGAATTCCTTGATCCAAAGCCAAGAAGGCTGCTAAACTGGCTGATGAGCAGAAGCAAGTAGACTAGGGAAGGCTAGAGTTTACAGGAGGCAAAGCCAAAGCAGGTGTCAATGAGGTTAACAGGAGTCCAGGCCAAAACATCAAAGACCCAGTGGGGTTACCAAAGGGAAATATAGGTTAGGATCAGGAGACAGATCTAGCATTGTAAGCAGGCAGGATCCAGCAGGAGTCCAAAGACAGACCAGGCAAACAGATCAGAACAGGGGCACACAGGCTCAGAGGTCCAAAGGCAGAATCTAAACACTAAAACATTAAACTAGCAATAAAAAAGTAGAACACTTTGGTTCAATTTGGAGCTTGACGCGGGGGTGGTGACCTCTGGATGACTAATAAGTCATCTTTAACAAAAGTAATCTGAAACAACAGTAGAACATAGGATTTTTTTTTTTTTACAAAGAATAATTTTTTTAAGTACTAACAACTCAGTCTGTTTTCTGAGTTCTTTCTTAGATTCTAGCAGCCCAAGCATCTCCTATTTGCTGACACGCTCTGCACTGTGCATCTGAAATGCAAAGCGCTAAACTCTCCTTGGTGCTTGTGAAATTACAGCAGTCACCGCAACTTGTCTGAATGCACTGTAACTGTGATTATGTGCAGGCATTCGAACTTGTTGAGACAAACATAGATATATGTGTCTCACAAATAAAAATGTATGTATCCCAAATATATGTATGTGTATGTGCATGTTTGTCTTGAGGAATGTTGATTTGAGTTTTCCAAGTTTCCCACAATATTAGACAGTTGTAATCAACACCTATTATTGATAGAAGGTCATTAAAATAATTATAAAAAGTTTGCTTTGGGCTTAAGCTTACAATAAACCTTTAAGAATATTTCTCATGCCCCCAAATATAAAAATACTTGAAATCAAAACATCACCCGCCCCCCACCCCACCCCACCCCACCCCCATCCCTAAATTTAGACTCAGAATACAGGATTATTGACAATTTTGACATTTGTTCATTCTTTTGCTCTCTTGTGCACATTGCTATCATTCTGAAAGCCTTGAATCATAGGGGATCCTTCACTAATTCCATTTGCAATGTTTCTGGTAAAGAAAAACAAAAACAAAAACAAAAAAATCAATTTGATGATCAGCAGAACTGTTTATTCTAATTTCATCTTTATTGTTTTTATTGGTGGAGCTAGTTTTCTGGCCATCACTGTTCAGAATCACTGGGGGAGTTGTAAACTTTCCTTTACCAGCATTTACCTTCTTGGTAATTTCAAGACACTTTTTTGATATTTTTTTTTTCATTTCCATAACAGCTATTTTCTCCAGATACTTCTCAAGATCCTTAGTTGAACAGAGGCATCTTTAACTGAATACCTAATGTTGGCTGATCCCTCTTTCAGATGTGCTTCCAGATGAAAACGCTCTTTAGTTTCAGATAATACACAAGAATCTAAGAGTAAAAGAGTGTAAGCCACTAGGAAGGGGTGAAAAAATGTCAAACCAAACAAAATGTCGAAAGAAAACAAACAATTTTCCACAAAATCAACTGACGAATTGCTGTGCTATATAATAGATAAACACTGAATGTGTTGAATTTAATTTCAACGTCAACTTCTTTATGTTGCTCGAGAAAAAGATTCTATTTTCATTAAAAGTGCAACTCAGTTGTTAACTCGAATGTAAATAACATTTCAAATAGAGAAAGACACAAACTTTCATTGATTACTGTTCTTTTCCTTTTCCTTTCCCTATTCCATCCTCTTATAAAAGAAAAAAAAAAACTTTTTCTAAACTTTTTTTTATACAAACACTTCAGTGCCTCTTATGGCAAAATGTTTTTTAAAATGATGTAATCACTCAATCCTGCAAGGGAATACATTTGCTTTCTGAAGTATTTGTTCACTGTAGAAACAACTCTGAAGCTACAAACTTTCCACCAATCAAGTTCAAAAGAAACTGATTGGATGATTTGAAATATTTAATTAGCTGAATTTGCTTTACAATGTTATTTTATTGTTGCAAGAGCCAGGCTGGTCACTTGAAGAGTTCAAGTCAGCTGTCAAATAACAAAGAGAGATTTCTTAGCCAAGAAAAATGAATGTTTCAATAATTTCAGTGTTTTTTCTTTCAGGTTTGAATGAAACAAGTCGGAATCAGAGATCAGCTTTATTCTTCCTCAGTTTGCTGTGTTACTGCACAACCATCTTGGTAAATGTTTCTCTTATTCTGATCATCATCTTTGACAAAGCACTACATGAACCAATGTATATTCTGCTATGTGCGTTTTGCATTAATGCACTTTATGGAACAGCAGGTTTCTATCCTAAATTTCTGTGGGATCTGCTCTCTCCTGTGCATGTCATCTCTTATTCAGGGTGTCTTTTGCAGGCTCAGTTGTTGTACTCCTTTGCCTGCAGTGATCTGTCCATCCTTGCTCTTATGGCATATGATCGGTATTTGGCTATATGTCGTCCATTGGAATACCACTGTGTCATGTCAGTACAAAGGGTCATTAAGCTGGCATGCTCTTTTTGGTTAACATCATTTTTCATTGTTGCAGTCAACATTTTTCTTACATCCAGACTGAAGTTATGTAGTCCATACATTAACAGACTTTTCTGTGTAAACTTGGTGATTGTGTCACTGTCATGTTTTCCTAAAGAAACCGCTATTAACAGCATTATTGCAAACATTACAATAATAATTTATATTCTTCATGGTTTCTTTATTGTATGGTCTTACATGTATATCATTAAAAGATGTTACAATTCTATAGAAAACAGGGCAAAGTTTATGCAAACTTGTGTGCCACATTTAATCTCTTTATGCACTTTTTTTCTGACCATACTTATTGAAATTGTTAATGATCGACTCGGATCTAAAGAATTACCTCAGCCTTTAAAAAACTTTATTGCAATAGAGGTTCTTGTCATTCCTCCCCTGATGAATCCGCTCATTTATGGTTTTAAGTTGACCAAGGTCAGAAACAGAATTATTGAATTTGTTACTTTTAAATTCAAATCAATTTAAGGACACATTTAGGATGTATTACTAAACAATACATTCATAACCTATCATTATATATTTTTTCAATCATGTTCAAGTTGTTAAGACCAGTTTGCATGCAGAATAAATTGCTCATAGCAACATCCGTTTTTCCGGGTTTTTTTATTGTTTTTTTTTTTTTGTTATGCATTGAGGTACTACTGTAGGAAGAATGTGATTGGTTTTGGATCATGAGGGTATTTTGTTATCTTTTTTTTTTTCATTTTTAATTTACAAATAAACAACAAAAACAAACAAAATACAAATACAAATGTACAGTACTATTCAACATAAATATACATGTAACATTTCTGGTAGTAATGCAAGCAATTTAGTGATGTGACCTGATAGATGACAAGGACCATCTCCATATTTGACTTGTTACTTTGAAATTGTTTATCTTATCAGTGATTGAAATAAACGAGACTGTTATGAGCTTAAGGTAGTCCATAGTCTGAGGCCTGTTGGAACTTTTCCATTTCCACAGAAGGTCTTGCACCCACAATAAAACCAGCCACTTTAAGCCCTAACACTTCTGTGGAAAATCCAGGCGGTATGAGAGACTTATGTTTGAACAGATAGACGCTGTTGTAATGATTTATCTGTGGACAGTCAAGTCAAGTCCATCCTTCCAAGTCTGCAATTACTTCAGTCCAAAATGGGGCATTCACCAAGGGGCATTCTGAGATAATGGAACTGGTCTCCATAGACCCCCTAAAAGGTTAAGTGTCACTGGAGGTGACGTTTTTTGCCGTGTTATGCAATCTGGGCTCTACTTTCTCACTGTTTACCAAAATAGCCCAAGGCTCAAACCTCAACAGAGATTTCTCATAAAGACTGACAGGCAGTGTCCTGCTGCTCCAGAGAGGAGGGGTGATTACATCCATGAGCGCAATAAACAGCTGATTAATGCACAACATACTTGAAATCAGGTGCATTTCAGCGCATATTTAATGCAGTTTAATAATTACATTTCTGAAGTTTTACAATACATATTTTACCAATAATTTTACGAAATTTGCAGGGTATTCAATGAGAAATCACCACTGTTATATACATCCAAAATCGTTCATGAATTCCATTTCTTTATAGTTTTTAATTCTTTACTTTGTCAATTTCAATTTTTATTTTACTGCCAGCTGATTTTCTTTCTGTTTTAAAGGAAGGGTATGTAAACTTTCAAGCAGAAATGTATTCACAAGCCATTTTACTGGTTTCTGTGTTTACTGTCTCTTGTATCTCCATTCTGCTCCTTCTCCAAAAATCTGACAGCAACCATGCAGCAACCATTGAGACTATCTTATAGTGCCATACTTCAGCCCAAATCTGCAATTCTAAGATTTACAATCTGTTGAAAACAGGGAAAACATTCAAAGAGTTACGGTAATTCAAAGAACGTGTATTTCTCTGTCACCAGTGTCAGCTCAGGTTTTTAAATGAATAAATTGAATCATCCATCTACCATCCATACATAGGTTTTATATCCCATGTACTCATTTCATAAGCCAACTTCCTGTGCTGCAGGGATGTTCCAGACTCAGGACTTACGTTGTTTATAAGAACAGATTCATAATATTTTATATACTTTAGCCTACGCCCACTGTGAAAGTTGCAATTTTTTCCTTTTGCCGAATTTTACTTCTTGTATGTAGCTAAATGGCATTAATAAGAGCTGACAGAGCCTTTTTAACTTTAACCTATTCAACATTAGAATCCAGTAATTACAATGTCTAAATAATTCAATAATTTCAAGATAAATACATAGCTCTAAACACGGGAGTGCTAGCCTTCTAATATCTATTGGAGCATTGGCTTTGTAAATCCAGAACTTGACTTTTTATTGTTTACCGAAATCTTGAATTATAATAATAATAAAACTTTATTGATCTCACATTTGAGAAATTTACCTCTGCATTTAACCCATCCCATTGGGGAGCAGTTCCCAGCCACTGTGCGGTGCCCGGGGGCAGTGTGGGGTTAAGGATCTTGCTAAGGGACCCAGAGTGTCAGTCCGTGGGAGTGGGGCTTTGAATCAGTGATTCAGCAGTCACAAGCAAAGGCCTTGGAAACCCCCTTAACGGACACTTAAACTGGGTCCTGAGACTTACTATGTGAACTCACTGGGGGTGGAGCCTTAAGCCTATTTTATGCTCAGAAACCAGATAGTTTGTGTGTATGTTGCATCTGATTGGTCAATTCAACATCCGCTCTACACTATGCGTATTTCCTGTTTGTGTCATGATTTTTATCTAAGGTCTTACCCCAACATGCAGAAAGCCAAACAGAGAGACCAGGGAAAAGTTTAACAGGTTTATTAAGAGTATGGTGATGACTCAAGTACAGCTCAGAGTAGAATGAAGTGAGTCCAGTGTTGCTCTGAACACTGCTCAACCAGAACTGAAAGGTGCGAGGGAAAGACACTGCGGTTAGTTCTACTGCATGAAAAGTGAGATTTTCGTCCCCATAAACTTCCGTAAACTCCCGCAGATCTCCCTGATTTTCGTCAGTTTCCGACAATTTGCAACCCGCGCTTGTCCGCGTTTGTCGTGCCACAAATTGTCGGAAACGGACTGACGTATGTGGAGAGCGATCAGCTGTACTAATGGCCCTAATTAGCATATGAATGCAGCAAACCCGCGCGGCTGGCCAGGTCTGGCTTGAATAACCTACTCAGTATTGGCTGAAACCACTATTCTCAAACAAGTGAAATCGCTCATGATTGGCAGCAAAACCACACGTGGCCACGCCAGGCTTTAACTTTCTTACTGAGTTTTGGACGGAACTTCTTTTTAAACAAGTAAAGTCGCTCGTGATTGGTTGGCATATATATATATTTACATATAAATTTACCTATATGTATATATATTTATGAATATATATTTATTGATTCATATATTTATTCATTCATATGATGTGTATTTATGTTGTCCTACACTACTACACAATTATTAGGCTACCATCAAGGACATGAATGAATTTATACAGGAAATGAACATTTGCCAGGAAGCTGTTTATGCAAAGAAAGAGCTTTATTAAAACACACACAACTATATACAACGCATATCAAAACACATGCGTATCTAAAAATTACAACTCCGTGAACGGTCCGTTTGCTTCCTCAGGGTTGGAGGTAACTGGCAGCATTCCTTTCGAGGCAGGTCCGATGTGCAGACGCCTACTGTGCGTGGCCCTGTACTTCGGTATCGCTTCTAACTGGGACTGCAGCTTAACACAGAGTTCAGTGAGATCCGGCCTACGAAATGGCGGCAACCGTACAATCCATCCAGAGACACCGCCAACGACGCCATCTTCTTCGTCGGACATGAGGTCGACAGTGGCGGACTTCCAGAGTTCAACTTCCTCATCTGCTAGCACACATTATGCCTCGCTTTCAGCAGCTGAAAAAAAAAACAATGAATCAGCGCCCTGCGTATGGACACAACACATCTATCAATGCACCTGAAAACTGGTCACCAAATAAAGTCTTACCCTCTTTCTTCTAGCCCGACTCCAAGCAGATTGCTGGGCAGCCTCCGCACGCAACGTGTTGGCTGGCTGCGTATATCTGAAGCTCCCGCGTACCGTCTCAAAATACGTCTTACAGGCAGCTGGAAAACAATTAAATGAGAGTGATATGAATAAAAAATCAAACGCAAGTCACAGTAACAAGGAAGGAGAAAACATTAAAACAAGTCACTTACACACAATGCCGTCTTTATCAAGATCGTGCAAATCTGGACTTGCTGATATGGCTCCGAGCAAATAGGAGGTCTGTGAAAACAAAATGTACAGCTATGATCGGTATCCATCCGTATCCATTGCCTTTTACCGCAGAATGAAAGCATATTCTTTAAATCTTACCCTTGCTGCGGTTCATAGCGCCTGCAATTAGTCTCCGAGTTGTGAAGACGGCGTACTGCTTCCTGTGAATCACAAAAAATACACTTTAATAAAGCTTGTTCTTGCAAGGCTACTATTAGCCGTAGCTTTAGGCTAGGCTGTTATTAGCCGTAGCTTTAGGCTAGGCTGCTATTAGTCTAATAGCATTAAAATAGCATTAAATTATAGTCACTCATTACTGTATGAACCCTGTGAGCGCTTAATTTAATATGACATATTAAAAAAATCCCACCATCATCCAGCTTATGTTCAGTTTCTGCCTAAATATATATATATATATATATATATATATATTTGTAGATTTTTGTAAAGGGGATAAGGATAATTCAAAACTGCTTTTTTGAATGAACTTGTTCTCTACTCCCAAACTCAGCATCTCTTTTCATTCATGTAATAAGAAGTTTCTTTTGAATGGATTTGATTAAAGTTTAATTCCCTCGGTATAAAATAAATATTTTGATGGAGATGAGAAATCTGCTTCCTCGTTGGTGAATAACCAATAGTTTGGATCCAATCATTTAAATAAACGGTGTTAGTTTTTTTTTTTTTTTTATATATATATATATAAGAATTGTGCTATGATTTCTAGTCACCGATCTGTTGCTGCTATATTTTAATTTGACGAACCGGAATTTGTCGATGTTCTTTTTCCTGTTTGGTGCAATTGCAATTGCGGATCTTGACCTGGCCGGACCTTATGACCACAGTGTACCAATCTTCTGATGGCTACTTCCAGCAGGATAATGCGCCATGTTATAAAGTGAATCATCTCAGACTCATTTCTTGAAACTTTTCCACTTAAGTAATTGTGAATTGAGCATATTGACAGACAACATTTTATTTTTTATCTTAAATGCAATTATTTTTTTTAAATAATTACTGCTCTAAATGTATTGCTCTGTCAGCTAAAGATCTGTTTTGGTCTCTATACTTTAATTAAATAAATCAATTCAAGCTAAAATGTAAGAGGCTATACTGAGCCTGATCTCTTTGTATCAGAGATTTTCTTACCTTTTAGAAAAATGTCACTTGGAGTAAACCCCCCCCCCCCCCGCAACCCTGATTTGCATTTGTATAGCTCACAGCATGTTCATTTACATGTTAAAGCCTCCCCCAGTGCACTTTCTAAGGCGCTGTCTATAAATTCATTATTTTAAGAGCAACATACCTGGGAAACACTTCCCTCACTAATGCTACTTCACCAACTA